ATCGCTTGTAATGGCAGATACAAATTTACTTCATCGACAGTCACACCACAAAATGTGATATGGGAGGTCTGGCTTTCATTACAATTAACAACTGTTCTGGTACCCAAGGGAACTGGCGGCAGTGTGGCGGATTAGTTAAACTGCCGAGATTATACAACTACAACAACCTGAGTTCAACTCCCGCTGGGGGTGATGATGAGACCAGTTCGAAGAAGTCGAAACTGCAGTCTATACCTGTCTGGATGAGAAGACCTTTTGGCAAGCAAGGCTATGTTAACTTCAATGGGAACGTAGGATAAACTCATAGCATCGTGGGAAAATTCAACTACATGTCCTTCCTCCCCTTAGTATAATAGAATGAATATATCGCATAGATACAGATTTTTCGTATTTTTAGCTTTTTCCTACATGAAAAGCCGGTTGCCCTAACTGAATATACTTACAACTATTGATATTCTATTAATATTACATATATTAATAATCAACTTCAGCAGTTTGCATCCGCCCATATCTGGTAGTCAACATATAGACTAACTCCGTGGCATGACCTTTCAAAATTATTTTATAGCTTGGCAACTGATGTCAGACTGTTATATTAACCTTGTCGTAAAAGGCAGTCAAATGCATTACCGATTCCGTAAGAAGCGGCATACCGCCAGAGGCATGTAGAGTCAAGCGTTCATGCGCAGCCGACGTCGTAGAAATGGTGGTAAAGACAGTAACAGCAATACTTACTTTGCAAGTTTGATAGTCGACCAGCCCGAATATAGTTTGTATTAGGAGGAAAAAGTGCTTTTTTCTTTAAATCCTGACTTTTTTTATGATTGGCCAGCCTCTTTTGATCCATTGTCATTGGCACTCCTTCGCCTGCCTACTTCATTGTACAAGTTGAACAACTTAGATACGAGCGAAATAGCTAAAAACTTGTGGAGAATTTATTGTGCTGCAAACTAGTAAAAACGGTAATAATTTCGAATACTACTTATTTAGTAGATATTACTTTTACTATAAATATAGCCATAACTATATTACTACTGAATATTACTTGCTGTCTTATTACTAATTACTTTATTATCTATTATTCGCCTATATTGTTAATTACTTGCAACTTATTAATACTACTTATATTACTTATTAAGTGTACTGTGCTACTTCTATTAGAAATACTTATTTTTCCATCAATATAAGCATTAGTAGTAGTAGTACACAGTACAACTTAAGTGAACGGGTTCGACCACTCCTTACCTTGACCTCATCGAGCGCTAGCCAATTAGAGACAAGCAGTCCTTGACCGACCAATAATGGCACTCCGGATTATACCTGAAGGAAAAGAAGGATTTCTCTGGAAGCAATGGCATTTGTTGTTTTGCATTTGCCCTTTCCAGTGGGGCTAGAGTCCCGACTAATACGTTTTGATGCTGAATAAGGCTTAGCCAGTCTCAAAGTTCATTTTGCCCTCTTCAACCTGGCAGCAAATTTACACCGAATCCATGTGCTCCGAGGTGAAGTTCGGCAATGGATTAGCCGCAAAGAACCAGCAGAAAAAGCTCCTTTCCGAGCACTACAATACGCCAACACCCAGATCCTTGCAAAATGTCCCATGGTCTACTGTACTTACGGCTTGGCGTAAGGCTGGCGTAGATTTCCAACCAGCCGTGCAAGGGACAACTTTGAGCCCGACCAGTCCGAAGCCGGAGACACGACCCAACGGATGTCCTGTGATCTGTCGATCGGTCTCCGAGGCCTCAATTCCCGGACGCCAGCCGACCCCATCTACTGCACCAGCTGACGTGGCTCCATGCCTCAACGACATGGTCACGTGTCCCGGGGTAAGTGTACCCGTGATCCGGTTCTCGAGCAACTCCAGCCAGACAGGTCTATCAAACGACCAATCCGGCCATTTGGGGGCGGGCCAATTGGAGAAGCTGAAGCAGCTCAACCGAAGAGCTCGCAGACGCACAAGCATACAGCGTCTGAAAACTGGTTGTCTTGTCGTCGGCCGTCTGTTGCCATGGTTCTCGTTGCTCTTCGGCGGCCTGGCCATCACTCTGGGCTACCTGTTTGCCATCCGCCAACTGGTCACCGCCGGCTGCCTCCTCCTTCTCGTCACCACCGGCTTCCTCTTGCAGGCGGCCTTCTGGAAGCGGCCGAACATCAACCTCTTCAAGCCGGCTGAAGTGCCCTTCTATCTGCCATCGCAGGAGGACCTCGAGAACCTGGAACGCGGCTTCGCGGACGTCAAAGAAGAGGAGGAGAAGACGGAAAAGGCGGACAAGGAGCAGCAGCATGAGCAGATGAACACTGAACACGAGCCACTCGGCTGTCCAGAGGTCAAGAGTTCACCAGAAGGCCTAGCACCGCTGGGTTTGCCGGGTTCGAGGCCGAGGCCGGCTGGAGTGCTGCTGCATCCGGACCATATGCATCAGATGCGCAGACTCAGTCAGGCCTTGAGCCGAGCAACACACGAACTAACCGCGGCCAGACAACGTTATCTGGAATTGGGCGAACCGAACATGCTGACTCTGGCGCGCCGATTGACCATGGGCCCCGGCGTCGACATGCTCGACTCGGGACTCAACAGTGTTGGCCGCGTGGCTGGCGTGGCCGGTGTCAACTGGGCCTCGTCTCGGCGCGGCCTGGCAACTGCGGGCTATCGTCATGGCGGCTCGATCTGGTCACCCTCGTCGAGGGACAGGTACTAGACGACGCCGAAGCGCCAAATGCCTCGGGTCGTGGCTCGGCTCACAAGCTCCGGTAGACAGACCTGGGCACGAGTCTCCCGGTCGGGGGGGTGTCCCGGCTGGGCGGAATGACGCTGGCAGACGCCCAATCAGAAGGCTCCGACAGCGGCCCAGTCGTGCCAAATTGACTCAAGAATGCACTATCCAGGCGTAACATGGTGAACATTAAGCTTCTTCTTCTTCTTCTTCTTCACTTCTGTCTGGACAGTCTAGCTATCAACGAATGTAGCACCATTAAAAATTAGCACACACCTGGCATATTCAGACTCCTGATGGCCTCGAGACAACGTCTTAGCAACGAGAATGTGTTCAGATCTTGCCGTCTGCACACAAAATAAATGGTGAATTAATTTTGACAAGTTGGTTGGCAAGATCGTTGTACCCGTTTTATCATGCATCGCTGGCATCCTGGACAAATCGAGTTCAGGGACCAAGTTAATTGTGAGGGAAAATCTTGAGATGTGACTCCCGACGGAGTGTAGGGAACCTTGAACGCATTTACAATAGAAAAAATAAAAGGAGCAGAAAGTGTAAAAAAGTTGGGGTGCATCAAGTCTGAAGAACTTATTTTTCGTTGATAAGTAGACTTTTCAGACTACCAGTAGAAAATTTATGCCTATTCAATCTATTTCGTTTGAGGTGATAAGTGGACTGGCAGTGGAATTCTCCCACAATGTTGTGAGTAGACATTACGTTTTCATTGAATTCCTCATAGCCTTGCCTCCCAAATGGTATTCTCATCCAAAGTGGACTGCAGTTTCAAGCTCTTTTAGGCCTTATTAAACTTATGAAACCAAAAAAAGGATACTGGATTGTCTTGAATTTCACATCTGCCCTGAGACACAATGGATCAGGCGTTGTGTTGTGGGGTTGTAACGTTGCTGTGATATTCAAAATCTAAATACTAATTTTTCTTGGGCCAAATGAAATTCAATGGCATCCCGAGGCTTACCCAGCTGCTTGTGGAAAAACGTATTTATCAGCACTAACTTGGCTTTAAGCGACCTCAAGTTCTTCTTCAACAATTACTCATAGTCTCGAAGCCTGCTTATAGCGAAACTTTATTGCAAAGTTTGTTGGGGCGTGCAGGAGCTGCCGAGTAAAGGATTGGAGCATGGAATCCGTTTCGGTCTGCCTCGAAAAAATTCTCCGTTAAAGTGATGTTTTTCAAAGCAATGTGTAGTGTAAATGTAATATGAGATGTATTCAGCCTATTTCGTTTAAGGTGATGAAGGACTGGTAGAAGAAGATTTTTCCCACAATAATATCAGTTAAGTTGACGTTTCCATTGAATTTCACATTGCCTTGCTTTCCCAAAAGTTGTTATCATCCAGGCACCAGTGGACTGCCGTTTCGACCTCGCATCAGTCTTATCAACACCCTAAGCGGGAGTCGAAGCTGATTTACTGGTAGTCACGAAAACAATACTTAATTAGAAAAACTTAAGTATAGTAGTCGATTGTTATAACATATATACGTTTGCATCATCGACAATTCCACCAAATGAATATGAAATGGCAAAAAGGCCTGGCTTTCCTTGAAAATTCACATTTGCCCTGTGACCCAAAAGGCGCTCTTGGCAGTGTAGCCGAGTGGTTAGCTGGTCAAGCCCCCATCCGGCACTGTCGCGGTTCGAATCCCGCTGAGGGTGTTGATAAGACCGATGCGAGGTCGAAACTGCAGTCCACT